GATCTTCAATTTTGTTTTTAACACATTCTTAAATTATCCAAAGAATTTGTATTAGAAAGGAAGAGTTTACCTTGTCAAGCCAACCATATTTTCTTATTACATTGTCCCATGCTATGCTTTCATAATATATTGAATTTCTTCCATTCTTTCATAATATACTAAATTTCGATGCATATTTTGGGCATAATTGATTTTCAATGTTCTGCAAGGAACAAAAATCCTTGCGGTCATGTGCATGAATGCCACATCCAGTGGGGGATGCTATGCAGCTTAGGATCCTAGTAATTGTGTTTGTGTGTTATACAATGGCTATGCATAAATTGAGTGGGTGATGTCAGGTTTGGTGGTGTTAATATAGATTAGTGGTAGATTTGATGGGTTTGGATGCTATATTCTTGGCATCCTTCATATTCCAACACGTCAATGACATATCCACAAAAGGAGTAATGTATGCCCTTTCCTGATGGAGCCGCCTTGGTACCATTGAAATGCTTCTTAAGCATAAATGTTATTTGTTGTAACTCAGAAGTAAGTTTCCAAAGAAACAACCATCTGAATTTGCCCATTTTGTATTCACGATTTGTTTATAGAAAAAATGTCTATTGTTTATCTTGCTAATCATTCAGAAATTTGTCTAGTATTTCGTGGTTATCTTCTCCCGCTTTCTACCTCATGAAATTTTCAGTAAACTGAGATTGCAAGAACAATAAATTTATCAAAACATAATCGAAAAAATGAGGAGGCTATTATTGACAGGCGCCCCCTTCCCTTGCATGAACTTAATCAGTCGAGATAGCGAAATGGGTGGCCTATACATCCAAAGTCCATTTTATTTGACATATTTGTTACTCTCTTTACTTTTCTGTTGGAATCAAACATTCTTTTCTTTGTTGTTTAGGAAGGTTATTAATTTTAATAGCAAAAAAAAAAAAAAGCGACTAATATGTTTGAATTGCGTTGCTGCCCTACTGTGCCCTTATGATCATGTGAGTTTAAAGAACCTACGCATTGCTGCCCTGCTGTGCCTACCATACCTCAATATCAAATTGGAAAATGCAATCCTTGCCCCAACACATTCACAAGGAGCTGCCTTGCTGTGCCTTGATGATCATGTGAGTTTAAAGAACCCAAGCATTGCTGCCTTGCTGTGCCTTAATGATCATGTGAGTTTAAAGAACCTAAGCATTGCTGCCTTGCTTTGTCTGCCATACCTCAATATCAAATTGAAAAATGCAGTCCCTGCCCCAAAACATTCACAAGGAACAAAGAATGATGCTTTGTTTGAAATCCTATTTAATGAATTAGCAAAAGATGGAGCAATTAATCAAGTAAAAATATGTTCATTACATTTGATGCACAACATCAATATTGCATCCACATTTCAACTGTACAATAATCATTATGTACAGCTCCAAAATTACATATACAAAGTTGTCACATGTAAATGCTCAAAAATCTCATATGCATAGTACCATTTCTAGCCCCAAAATTGTGTCAACATCACACCAGGAATGGTGTTCTCTAATATATAATGATTACCTACTAAACTAACCTCTTTTTAATAGACAATTCCTATAATCATGGCCAGTTTGACCACATGAAGGAACCTTACAATATCTAGGTTTCTTGGCAATTTCAACATGGGGCTTTAACCTTTTTTTAGGAGGCTGCCCTTTTGTGATAGACCGAACATGGTTCTTTACATAGACGCTTTCACAATGAAATGTTCCAAAATTCTTGAAAATTGCTCCATAATGTACTTGTACAATCATCAAATCTTGCACCCTTTGTACCAATTGTTGATGCTAATAATTGTATAGTTTGGACAAACTCAGCATATGCAGCTGTTGTGTTCGAGTCAACATTTAATATCAATGATGTAGAGCTCCTCCAATGTTTTGGCAGATATCGGTCTGGGATTTGAATACAATTTTCTTTGAAGAGAATGCATGCAAAGGATACCGGTAGACTCGAACCCTTCATGCATTCTACTTCTTCAATGGACTGAAGATTATGCAACTTGTAAAAATCGGTGTCAAACTCATTGTATCTTTTACCAAGGAGGTGGAACAACCAACTAGATAATTTTGATAATAAGTGCCATATACAAAATGCATGTTTAGTGTTGGGGAGTTATTTACTGATTGCTTATTTGAGAGCCAAGTCCAGATCAGTTAGGATTGTTTGTGGCATCTTTCCATTCATTCGACTTACAAATGCCTACAACCATATCATGTTTTAGATACATTAGAAATATATAAGCATGCTCAAACACACATCATTGGTAAGAATATCAAAGAATTCAAAGCTCAGAATTTGTAAGCATCACATACCTTCATTGCCCATGAAAAAGATTGAACTCTTTCATCTCGTAGTAGAATACTCCCAAATAAACAAGTGTCACCATGGTTATTGATACCTACCTAAATGCCGAATGGTATAGAGTAGCCATTTGAGTGGTAGGTTGTATCGAAAACTACCACATCACCGAAAATCTCATGTGCACGAGAGCAAGAACCATGAGACCAAATAATATGCTCCAACCTATTATCTTCACCAATTATAAAATCGTACTTAAAATCTTTATCTCTATTTTTCATTTGCTTACATTTTGTCAAGAGAATATGAGCATCATTGTCACGGTTCAAATGGTTCAAAGCACATACAAAGTTATAGATATCCTTATCCATAAATGGTAATTCCCTTGGTTTAAGACTTATCTCTATTTCAAACAACCGCATCATATCGCTAACACATATACCAACTTTGGAAAATCATAGAATACGATGCTTGTAGCTTTATGAAATACTACAATAAACAGGCAAAAATCGAACTTCTTGTAGCTGGAGAACATCATGATTGTAATTATCAAAGGTTACAGCACGCCAATATGAAATATCAGAATCCATGACTTTTGCGATACTCATATGCGCTCCACAATTGCATCTCCTTGATGATCGATCTCTTTTTCCTTTATTTGTAGACACAATATTTGTTTGTTAAATGGCCCACCCTATGGCAAACATAGTACCTTCTAGTAGTTCCATTGCTATCACTTTCTTTTTCAATTGTTCGTTGACGACGCACTGAAAACCGCCATGCCTTGGCAAAACTCTTGTAAAATTCATAAACATCATCATGACTTGAAAATATTTTTCCATGGTATGGAACTAAATCACTAGGAACTGTTTCTATTAGGTTTTCTACAATTAAAGCAAAGCCCTCTACAAGCATGGTTTCATTTAGAGGAGTTTCCGTATGGGATCTACTTATGTACCTGTAAAAAAGGACTCAAGTTTGATTGTGATCACTTGCAAAAAAAAAAAAGACTAAAGTAGATAATGCTGATACAATAGAGATTTTTGGGGTTTGTTCATAAAAATTATAATGGCTAAATAAATCAAAACCACAAAGACATCCATTTGGACAAAAAATGACCCACATTATTCACTTGAAATTGAAAATTGTAGAATCGTACTTTTTTTTTTCTTCAGAATCATAACAAACAAATCAAGTCATATATAGTCAACCAAACTACCCATAGAGTTATGAACACATCAGACTTGTATATAATCCATACATCAGTAAATCATATATCAAAAGAGTTAATAACCATAACAAGCAAATAAATCACGTAACCAAACTATCAACCACAACTCAAATGAAAATCGTAGAATCATAAGAGGTAGATCATATATTGTTTCCTAGTACTGACTATCAATGTAAAGTTCAAAAGCACATTACAGTCATTAATAACGCCCAAAATTGTGCCAAGAACAATGCTGCCCAAAATTGCAGCCATGAGTAGAGCTGCCAAAAATTATTTGATGCCCCAAAATTGCAACTATATTGTGCCAAGAATAGTGCTGCCTAAAATTAAAGCCATTACAACCTGAATTTGGGTAAATCATAGTTGAAATACTATGTTTAAATTTCTAACTATACCACTAAAAAAAGAAAAGAAAATAAACTAATTTCTAAAACTCATTGAAACTACAACACTTGCAAAAAAAGAATAGATCAATGAGACAAGATAACAAGCTATAGAATAAAAAATTAATCAAAATCGAGTAAAGTATAAATCTATACAAATTGGAACAGAAGAAATAAGGTATAAATCATATGGGATAAAACTAAAATCACAACCCAAAATAAAGATAAATAGGATGGAACAAGCAAATTGAGAGCAAGCCCACAAGACAAGACAATAACAAAATCCAAAATACTCATGCAAATGCCATATGCAAAACCTCAAACCCAAAATTCGAAATAGGATCCAGATGAGACATACCTTGATAATACGGAGAAAAAATCGTCTTGGGCTTTTGATTCAGAAAAAGAAAAGAACTGTCTTTTGCTTTAGATAGAGAGAGGGGATTGGGGAGGGCGAGGTGTAGAGAGAGAGGCTTTGGGGAGCGTGAGGTATAGAGAGGAAGAGAGACGTTGTGGAGGGAAAGATTCAAAGTACCTCATTTTTTTTTATTTTCGCTTTTTAGTTTTTTAATGCAAAGGTTCATATTGCCCTTGTGAGTAGGCTTTGGGTTCTATTAATATGAGGGCAAAAGGGGTAAAACTGTGTTCCCACAATTTATTCTAACTTAAGTTGCGGTCTAATGATGGTATTTTGGGATTGTTTTTTTTTTTTTTCATAACTTAAGTTGTGGTCCGATGATGAAATTCTCGTACCACGTTTTTTTTTTTTTCAAAACTCAAGTTATAATCCAAGGTTGAAATTTTCAGACTGTTTTTTTTTTTTTTTCAATCTTAAGTTTCGATCCAAGGATGGCATTCTCAAAACTTTTTTTTTTTTTTGTTCAAAACTTAAGTTGCGGTTTGATGGCATTCTCGCTTAACTTTTGACAAAAAAAAATGTGGTAACTTATTGTAATTTTCAGATATATAGGAGCAACTCGTATTTTTCTAATTTATTTAAGGTCCATAGGCAAATGGGTACAGTGTAATGCTCGTGATTTTGAGAAAATGACCCATGCAATAAATAATTGGTCCCTACCTAGTTTGATCTTTTTTTTATTCCAAAAATAAAGAGTTAGTACAATATTCAGATGAAAGCCCACTTGGGCCAAAAGTGGTCAGAGGGTTCCCACTACCACTCACCACCTTTAAACTATTCCACACAGTGAAGGAACGCAAACAGACGCACAATAAAAAACCATTAACATACGCTTACTATTAAGCAGTAACAAAGTTGAAGCCACTTTCTCTCTCTTTGACTTTAGATTCCCCACGTTTCTACATTGAAGCAAAGCCAGGTGAATTGAAAACCCCACACTTCTTCCTTATCTCTCCTGCATTCCCCACCAAAACCTCCAATTTCCCCATCTTCACCATTGCATCTACAAAAGTCTTCAAAAACCCATTTCCATCAGAAGAAAATTGCCTAACAAACCCCACTGAAGATCTATCATTTCCAAGCGCTTGGTCTATCTGTAAAATCCCCCTCTTCTTCAAAACCTGGTTGTAAAACTCATTGTCTACCCTGAAACTTGTGTTCTGATCAAGAAAAGCAGTTGGATCCCTTACAGTGGGCAAACTGCTGCTACCACATAGCTTTTGGAGCTTAGAAACTAAGGCTGTGTCCATTGAGGGGTCTGGTTTTCCAGTTCCCTGAAAATTAAAGAGTCGGCCGCGAAAGAAACCACAATGAGCCACACCAACTGTGTGTGCACCCAAAAGAGTGACCATTTCTTTGAGAGTGAAGCCTTTGGCTCTGAAGAAAGAGAAGGCTTGGGACACCGAGAGGGAGGGACCCGGAAGGTTAACATCATTAGCATTTGAGATGAGGCCGTCCCTTCTGCCTGTGGGTATGGGGTAAGAGGGCCCTCCAGAGAGGGCGACTGCATCCCGGGTAGCTGCAGTGATTATGTCGGCACATGACACGGTATTGGGACACTTCTTCTCGAGCTGGGTTTTGATCTCGTCGATGAACTCGTACCCTCGCACTGTCTCGTTCGGACCAGCATCCTTCTCAGCTTGATTATTCGAGGTTGAGTTAATTAGGATGGAGGCATCGCAGCCCTGTAAAAAGAAGTAGATAGAGAGAAAAGCGTGTGAGAAGATTTAGTAGGGGTGGCAATAGGTCAGGGGTTCAAAATTTTACCCTGAGGTCGGGTACACCAGTCGGGTCTCAAGTTTACTCTGTCCATTGCCTCCTTGTGACAATTTCTTTTTTGTTGTCTTTTTTTTTTATCATCATATATCATATGACTGTGAGTTTCTCTCTTTTTTTTGTCAATAATATTATAAATGCTACTAATATTGTGACAATATGGAACGCTTAAAGACACATTATCGCCATTATATACCTTCTGGCTGCGCGTATAGGTCAGAACCGGTGGGACCCGGACTAGGACCAGGACCCAAATAGTAATATTGTGACAATATGGAACGCTTAAAGACACATTATCGCCATTATATACCTTCTGGCTGCGCGTTATAGGTCAGAACCGGTTGGACCCGGACTAGGACCAGGACCCAAATAGTATTCGGGTCCAAAATTTTACGCATACCTGGGCCTGAGGTCGGGTACACCCGTCGGGTCCCGAGTTTAATCAGGTCCATTGCAACCAACCCCTAAGATTTGAGCAGTTTTAGAGAGAGAGAGAGTGACTTAGTGCATACTTACTCTAACAAAGCAATCATGGAAATGCATACGAAGTAGCGCAGCTGTGATGGAGGGGTCCTTGTTAAACTTGTTGAAGACAAGAGTCTTTATTATGAATTCCGCATTTGGGCATGTGGATCTGTAAAAGTTGAAGCTCAGCTGAGCAGTTGCAAGAGAGAGAAAGAAGAAAGGGAGTAAGAAGTAGCGCAAAGCCATTGATGGAACAAAGCAAAGTAAAAAGGTCAGATGAATGATGAGTGAGAATAGTTGGGGGAGGGGGGTTTTATAGAGTGAGGGTGACTGTGTTAGGGCTGACCTGTAACCGTTATCCGTGACGGTCCGAGCAGCATCTCGACCGACTCCTGCTTTATTAATTTTCATTGATGTACGTGCGACGCGTTCAATGTGTTTGAATATTTGGGCGTAAGAAGCACATGCGTTTGAATATGGGGATGTGAAAAGTGAGAAGAGAGCGTTTTAGAGAGAGATAGGGCTTGGTTTATTTTCTCTCTAAGCACCACCTTAGAGAGAGAAGCACATGCATTTTTAGCAGATTAAGTGCCACGGCCACCGCTGTCGTTGTCTCCGAAGAGAGAGAGAGATCCGAAGGACCATGGCGGTTTTCACTGGATTAGAAACTTAGTTGGTCGGGCTTCCCACCCGAGTATCCCGAGGTTGTCTTAAATATAAAAATTATTTGTCATATGTTTTTTTTTTTGTTTCTTGTCGGAAATTAGAAAAAATTTTGGCCATGAATGCTTACATTTTATATTTCTTCTTCTTTTTTAATTATTTTTAAAGGAAAAAATTTATATAAAGTGTCAACTTTATACTGTATGAATAAACTGCACCTAAAATATCCACAAGAAAGGGTTTTTCCTATGCTGGAAAACACTCAATCGATCATTTCGACCTCAAAGCACATAAAAATAATGGGATTTCTAGTCCTAAAAATAGTTCTTCTTCTAACACAATGTCTGGACCGTCAATTTTCAAGATTTTAAAGTGTTTATAGATCTGCTTAACTGTCACCATTTATGGAACTTTAAATTTCATCATTAGGGGCAACCATAGATTTTCATATCATCACAACACTTTGCGGCTCTCAAACCGCATTTTTGGTATAGTTTTGAGGTGCACCTCACTTTAACTCACCCTTTTTAAAATATTCCCCCTTTCCTAAATTGAATTTTCAAAATCTATTTTTTCATTTCTATTTTAACCTTATTTAGATTTTTTTTGTTTAATTTTACTTCGAACATACTTTTATATGTTTGAGATTTATTTTTTATTCTACTCAGGCCAAGTTAGTCTGACTTAGGCCCAGTACCCAGCGGAGTCGTTGAGCAAAACGTTAAATTTTTTTTCGGATAGAGAGAGAAGATAAGTGTGGTAGTTGGTAGAGAATGGAGGGGTGATGACTTGATTCCTTTTATATTGTGGCTTGTGGCAATCGTCATGGGGCTCTTGAACGCCATACAACTCGTTTCCTTGAAACTTCCTCCATTCCTGCAACTTGATTGAAACTCCTCGTGCTGTTTGGGATATCAACTTGGAAGCTGTGTCATTAGTACATCATTGCACATGACTTTTCTCAAAAAAAGGCACATTGTTCTAGTTGTTTTTAGTTTAATAATGATAATGATAGTATGAAAATGCCACTGGCATGAAAAACAATGGTGAAGTATGACTTATTTAAAAATAGTGTTACTAAGTACAGCATTGTCAACTTCCATTTAAAGCGATGCTAGATATCAAGGCAAACATATTAAAGGCATTCCTAATTTTTTGAGAAAGGTGTTTTTCTTTTTTTTCTCAATATCTTCAAATTATGGATGTTTAAAGGGCTACAATCCTAAAAGTTGGAGCATGGGATATCTTGAACTAACAAATACTGTGTTTGATAACCCGACTGAAATTTTAAAGTAGCCTAAGAAACTGTGGTTGATTGAACTTGGATTTCGAGAAATTTGGAGATATGAAAAGAAGCAATTACAACCATTTGTTGGATTTCCAATGATGTGTTTATGTGTGAATTTGTGCCGATCTTTGATTGAGATCGGCTCAAATTATTGCAAAGCTAGTTAAAAATGATAAATCGATAGAAAAGTGAGGCCTCTCAAATTATAGATCCAAAACAGGTACATATATATCAAATTGACCTTTTTTGGATCTATTGGCGTAAATCTCACCTATTAGATCTTTAAAAAGCTATGAATTCTAAATTGAACTAAGAAATAAAGAAATAAACAAAAAGATAAAAAAAATGATTAGAAGAAAAGAAGGATCACATAAACAGAAAAGGAAAAAATAAATCAAGAAAAATAAAAAAAAATAGAGGAGAAAGAAATATCATATACCTGAGAAACTTGAAGTTGGAGCCAATATTAGGAACGCAGGTTGATTTACACATTTAGTGTATCTCTTGCTTTCTTGAAGAATAGCTTTAAAGGTTTTTGGACCTAGGAGATCTTGTTCCTAGGGTTTTTCTTAGATATGGGGTTTCTATATCCTAAGAGAAATTTATGGGATTTTTTAGGAGTTTTTCTATTTGTCTAGGGAATTTTATAAGGATTTGGGATTTTTATTATTTTTCTAGGTATTTTGAACAAATTTCCCAATTTTCCTATTTTTCTAGGCTTTCTAGGATTCTTTAGGATTTTTTCAGTTGATTTTTTGGATTTATTGATCTAGCCAAAAAGTAAGGATGAAATTTAAGGTGCTGATCTTGGAGTCCTGATCCATGGGGAAAAGCGTATTTCAATCAATTTTATAATTATCTTGTTTGGCAATCGACTCAATTTTTATAATTATAATTATCAGGTTTACCAAGGTTTTCTAGAAAATGTGGCATAACCTCGGGCCCATTGGGCATGTGCGAGTTGTGGCGACATGAGTGGCCCATGGGCTACACGAGTGGTTGCACATTGCGCTACCCATGTGCAGCCCACGAAGTCTTGCGACGAAGGACCTCTGTGTCATTTTTAATAAGACAATAATCCCTGAGCCTTATGTCCCCAACAGTAGATTCAATTTTAATGAGTTTTGGATTGTCGGAGAGATCTTGGGTCTATTACAGATTGGGTTAGGCTTTAGTAATTTCGAAACAAAACTAAAGGGGCTAGTTTCACTAGGGTTTACTAGGCTTAGTGTGGTCCTTAGGACTCATAATTAAAGCCGAGAATTTTATTAGCTAAGATTTATGAGGAGGGGTGTCTTCAGTTGCCCCTCTTTAGCATTCACTTAGGATACCAGGTGAATTGAGAAACAATAGACACCTTAGACACGATAGAAGAAACATAAATGGGTCATTATTTGGAATGACCAGTTTCTTTTGAGAAGGTGGTACACTGATAAGACATTGAACTGGAACTTTGATATCTTAGAGGCAGTTATTTTCCATGGAGAGGTCTCCAACAATTTGTACCCTTACTGACAATCAACAGAATCTGTGCTAACTTTTGAGTTAGCTAGTTTTGCTTGTTGAGGCCAGCACAATGCTATATGGGATGCCAGTTAGTTATCTTTAGCTTTAGACTTTTGCTTTTCTAGGCTTGGTGTTCAATTGAATGAGAATTTTAATGTTAGAAGATAGTTGATAGTGGAGAAAATCTGGCTAATCAATTTTTGTTTAACATTTTGTTTCTTGAGGACCATAGGTACAAGCATCCCCCCTTAAAATGAGTTTTTTTGGGTACTTCAGCCCATGTTTCAAGACTTTTCAGATAAGGTATAAATGTAACAGTATCATGTATAGGCCGTCCAACGCCTTCATTGGAAAGCGTTATTTAGAGGTTTTGAAAACAAAGAGAGATTTTTTGAAAAACAAAACCAAGTGCCTAGGTATATCAAAGAAACTAAACTCTTTGAAATCTCACAAATACACAAGGAAATATTTTTAAAAGAGAGAGAATTTCATAAAATAGGTTGGTACGCAGTTTAGGTTCATGCTACCATGGAATTTTTTTTTTTTTTTTTTTTTCTGAACATGAGCTTGCTAAGCCTTTGCTTTGGATCTGTTTTCAAACAAGTCGATGTCTTGGATAAAAAAAGATATTGCCCCTAACTACATAGAATATCCTTAGAGTTCCAATTTTCTTCCTCCACTACCGCTCCTTTAAAATTTAGATAGTCGAGGTCCCTCAGGTTTTACTTGGTTTGATGCCTTTGTATTACTTTGTCTTTTACTTAGGAAAGAAGATGAGTGGAAAAGTTTTTGGAGAGGAGATGTTCTTGGAGAAGACATGAAATAAAGATAATGTTTTCTATTGCCTGGGGTCCCTTTTGGGTGTTCAGTTCGGTGACCTTTTTTATATTTTATTTTTTTTTATTTTTTATTTTTTGTAACGCTCAGGGTTCCTTTTCGATTTTTAGCTCGGCAAATTGTTAGTTTTTTTTTGTTTTTGTTTTTGTTTTTTTCGCCCTCTCTTTTGAAGAAGATGAAGGAGGAGGAGGAGAAGAGTCAACAATGTTTTTTCTTTATTGTGGCACTTCGTCCTAAAAATAGATGAGAACTCAATCATACTTCTCCTCCAGGTGCCAAGGAGGTTCTAATCTTAGGTATCTTTAGATTATATTTGCCCGTGGTTGATATACAACACTTTCTTGATAATTGTTGAATCCCTATTGAATTTTTCCTCCTTGAATTGCATCGCCCAGACATTGATCTTGGAGTCACCCTCAGCTTCCTAGTCCTTGAATCTCCTGCTCGGTTAGCTAAGCTCATTTGGTTTATTTCCCTTCAATGGGAGAGCTTTCCTTCTTTTTTTTCTTTTTTTTTCCCCTATAATGACTCCTTAGGCCATCAATTTCCATGAAGTAGGGTGCCTAAGAGGAGCATGCCTCACTTGGCTATATGAGAGGGAGGAGCAAGCATTCACCTTACCCTTTTTGGTAATTTTGTTCATTTACAACTTGATGTTATTCTTCTGGAGTTAACGACTTCGTGATATGTTGGAAATTGTTGAATAAGGCCAATTGCCCTTGTTATCTCATCATTTAATGAGGATGCCTCAATCAAATGGTGTGGTAGTGTAGACACCCTATTTTGGAATTAACATTTTCCTTGTAGTCTTGAATCTTAAAGCATAGAAAATGAGCCTTAGACAAGCCTTTTAAGCCATCAGGACCACATTAGTTTATTACACCATAGGACACACTAACCCATCAGCATGTCCAGACCACAGTCCAGTCTATAATGCCCATAAAATCAAGAAAATACCCATAAAAAAACTATTTTAGAGGACCTTGGAAAAAAATAAGTAGGTTTTCAATTGAAAAGGAAGCATAATATGTATTACCAAACCGCTTGAATTGTGAACCAATATAGTAGTTTCCAATCATCACAATCATAACCCCAGAGAAATCTGGACTAACCCAGGTCGGTCGTCCGTTTGTATCACAAATTGTGGTGTGCTGTACAGGCCATCCATGCCACAAGTTGTGGCGAGGATAGCCATTGACTCTTGATTGGTGCAGACAACCACCACATGTATTTCTAGGGCACCTTTACTTATAAAAACACATTCCTTAAACACCCTAGCCTCCTCTCTCCATCCAAACCCTAACTCTAGTCTCTAGGAAGCCTAAACCAGAGCCCTAGTAGTCATAATTTCAGTAGTCATGGCCAGCCACTTCAGAGACAAGGAACCC